TACATGGAAACATAGAAACAGAGGGAGTCAGAAGGTAGTTTGTGTACAGAGGGATGCTGCATCTGATTCTGCTATTATCCACATAGATTGTGGTTTGATGAATTCCTGAGAGGAAATATATTTCTATACGGGTTCTTCCTGTAGTTTTCAGCTCCTTTTACACATGGAATGCAATCCTCAGCCAAACTAGTAAGCAGGGGTGGACATCGTAGTTGCTCAGAACTTTTAGAGAAAACTCTTTCCAGATAAGATTTCTAATCAACAGTTTAATTTTCAGAACTGCAGTGATCTCTGCTCCTCCCCTATCCCAAGCCCTGATGTGTTCATACATTACGGATTGCAAACTCCTATGTTAAAGCTGCAACATATACAGTAGGAATAAATTAGGCAACTTTGCTAATTACGTGGTACTACAGTTGTAGGTGAGTGCTTTCCTAGCTTATTATACATTTCCAGTTTTGCCCTTGGAGCCAGCAGAGTTTTCCATAATGGAATAAAGGAAAACACATCTTTAAGTATACTCAGATCCAAGTTCTCAAGAGTGGGAGGTTGGCTTCTCGGAGGACACAATCCCGCACATGTTCCGTCAGAAAAAATGAGCTCCCAGCCATTGCCTGGGAAGACGGGTCCCATCCAATTACCAAAGACAGGAAGTTTTCTTAAGATTTGGAAACTCTGAACCTTGCCTTAGAGCAGGGATGAGGAAACTTTTCCTATCGGCAGCCACCGGCCTGCAGGAAAAGATCCATTAGGGCCCCACACAAGTGGGACGACTCTATGCCGCAAGCAGCTGGTGCTTTTCCCAAAACAGATTCATCAGAGTGCTACATTCCAGCAAATGTTTGTTTGTTTTCATGTAAGGAAGATTGTTTTCATGTCGTCTTGATTAATCCAGCCAATTTTGCCAGCAGAACTGTCCTGTCCATCTGTGCCAAATTGTTCTAGTTGGCCTCCAGTGCGCGAGCCTGAAATCACGGCCCTTCCTTGCTGTTCTGTTCCGCTCTGCTCTGCGGAGCCTCCAGGCTGGGGTGCTAGACCAGCAGAAGCACTCAAGGCAAATATCCCCATTACTGGCCAGCCTTTTTTCATGGACCGTTAACTCTGGGCAAAGGTCCTGCTCTTCGAAGTAACAAAATGCATGGTCCGAGTTTTCCCCAGTGAGTGAAACGATCGACCGTGGAGAGGCCTGGAGGAGGGGAGAACGTTTCTCCTCCTTTACAGGAGTTCCCCAGGAAAATAATTTCTGGCAAGTCGGGATGAATGCTGTGGACCAGCCCCTCCCTTCAGCCCAGACCTGGAAAAAACGGGGAAAGAATGGTGCTTTGGGCCAGGCTCCCAAAGCCCAGAAACGGAGAATTTTCCAAATGCCTTTCAAACGGCAAAGAGTTCTAGAACAGCACACCAACTGTCCATTAAAAAAAGAAGTTAATTTGCAGGGCAGGGTGGGAGGAGAAGGGGATGGAACCACAGAAAGCAGCACTCTCTCTCTCACACGCCCAGAGTTGCATGTAAAAACCACAGTGCCTAAGCCATCTAGTCGCATCACGTACTTGAGTGGTACTGGGTGCAAGAGCAGATGCTGAGGTGCGAGAGAGAGAGAGTGTTCGCCTCCCAGTAGAGGCTGCAACAGGCCTGAGCGATCCTTTTCATGCGGATCTCCTCCCAGTAAAAGCTGGTCCTGTTGGATGATCCGTCCAATAACAGGGTGGCTTCCACTTCTGATGTCAGTGCTGTAGCCAGCAAATCAGAAAATTATCTGCTGGCTCGACCCACCCACCTTCTTAACAATGGGAGCCAGAGCGGTGCAGGACCAGGATCCAGGCACTCTGGGCTCAGGTCCCTGCTCGTCCACAGAGCCAGCTGGGTGACTTGGGCCAATCAATATAGCCAATGCCAAAAATGTTAATTCTTCCAAGGACCCAAGAAGTTGAGGAATCCAGAAAACTGTATTTGGACACCCGAATGCTTAACATTTATCTTTTTATTCATTTTCCACAATTCCTAGTCTTACTGCTGGTGACGGGAATTTTAAGAATGCCCAGAGGCTCAAATATTGTTAACTGGGAATTTTCCTACCTCCCACTCTTTTAGAAAGCAATGTTTGACCTGTTTTTCGTTTCTGATTCTTTACCTACCAGTTTTTATACTGCTTTGCTGTGTTTTAGCCTGGAGCAGAGGCATCTGCCCAAGTTCTGATCCGTTTGAATCAAGGAATTCATAATGGAAAAAGTGAAAACTTATCCTAAAATTGCCATTCATTTCTAGCCATTCCTTTAGTAATAACAGTACTGGCAGAAAACTGAACTTTGCATATTTAAACACGTCTGCTTGCAGCTTGGCTTCTCCAGGCCAAAAATGCAGCAGGAAGTCTTTCTGCCTAGGTTTTAAAGCTATATCCAGATAGCCAGTGCATCAAACAACAACAATAATGCAAGTTAGAACTGTCTTAGCAATTGGCCCTTTTCCATGGGTATTATTTACTAAAAAGATTAAACTGCATTGGAAGTTTCAGGAAGCTTGATCAACTCCCTAAATCATCACAACCTGGTATTTTACAAAACGGTTGCCTCCAAATTCATTTCTGCTCTTGCAGAATCTTCCTATAGAGCTGTTTCTGCTCTCTCACTCCCTGCTATGCACACAGATGGATTTTTCCAGTTGAATGTAGGTTGCACTGAAATGAATGGGAGTAAAGGTAAACTGAGAGTCATTGACTGGTCCTACGTTTTACATATATAACCATATAGACTTCTGGAACTCTTGGCAAGCCTAAGGTGTCAAGACATTAGACACCAAACAAGAGGTTTGTACACATAAAATTTCTTAGCACACAATCCTGTACATGCATAGAAAGAAAAACTCCTGTAACCATGTGCATCACAGCTCTGTCTGTCTGCACAACCATAGGATTGTGTCCTTAGGTGTACACCTAAACATTCTTTATTTGAAATAGTCCTGTGATGTCTTGTTTTATTCCAGCTGAGATTTTGATGTGTAACCCCTTAGGAGAAGGTGAGATAATTGAGCGAAGGCTAAAGGAAACATGATGTTTCTTTTTCCCAACTTTTTAAAAATGAAAAATGGCCTTGCGAGAGCCGCAACAAAGAAGGGCTTGCATTATTGCTGTTCCTGTTATCCTTTCAAAATTCTGCTCCCCTGGTTCTGAGACGGAAAAGAAGCTGGGACATTTTTAGCATGCAACTGGCCGGAGGTGACTCTGGCATGGATCATGGCCTTCCAAAGTTGTTTTTTAATTAAAAAAAAATTTAGGGAAAGGAAAACGCCATGCCGTTGCTAATCTACACCTAGATCATGTCTCTTCTTCCTTGCAAGCACGCTTCTTTAGTGGCTGAAACTTTGGGCTTTGAGGTAAGTTCCCCATCATGCATGATGACTTCTACCTGTTCCTTAGCTTAACCTCCCCCACAGAGAGCGTTAGTGTCCCTTTGAACTTAGAAGCGGAAGAGCAGAGTGCGCATCTATCCGAATGAGCAGAACAACCACTCTGGAGGAGATCCTCAGGGTTTGACACCAGCTTTGAATTCCAGAGTTTCTGAGTCACCCTCCAAATAGACTCAATGATCTGGCCACGTTATCAGGCATTCCGTTAATCCAAGGAGATCTACTGAGCCTGCAGCGCTAAGAGGATCGGTTGCAAGTCTGCTGTGCCTGAGTCCTTCGACTGTTGGCCCATCGAGCCCAGTACTTTCAGCACGAACTGGCAGCAGGCTCAGGGTTTTGGACAGGTGTCCCTCTGGCCCTACGCAGAGCCGCGGGGGATCCAGCTTCTTGTGTGCCAAGCACATGCTCCACCCATGAGCTATGGCCCGTCCCCAGGCATACGGTCCTTCATCACTGAGCAGCTCCTGGTTCTCACCTCATCCTAATTCCCCACAGCTGTTTTAAGCCACAGATGGCTGTGGTGCTTGTTGGCTTCCACTTTAAATGTGCACACCTTGGAGGGTTGTCGCCGTGTTGCGCAGACCCAGCAAGGGTGCTTTATGTGAGCATTAAACAGCACTTGCGTGACCCTAATACAAGCCATGTTGTTTCACCATTGCACACGCCGCCATCACCACTTCCTCCCACACGATAAGGCATCGCTTGGGCCAGCTGTGATTTGAAAATCCAAAATGTCCCCTGGCACGCTTCGCATGATGGGCTGCAGCAGGCAGCCCAAGTAATCTGAGCAGGTATCTGGACATTTCCCCCACATTTCATCGCTGGCCATATATCTAAATTTATCTAAATATCTAATTTAATAATAAATAATAAATATCTAAATTTCCTCCTTTGCACTGTGAACACACACAAGATTCTGAGAAAAGGGGCTGAGATTCTTGTCAGAGTATTGGTAGATGGTGTTTTTCCCACTGCCTAAGTGATTTTAGGGGAAAATGCAAAACAGGCAGTAAAGTTGTTTAGAATTTGGCAGCATCATTTGCTCATATCATTCATTTCCTCCTGCCCTTGGTGATCCCATGCCTCTCCAGTGGGCAGCACAAATTAGACCAGGCTTCACCACTTAGGCGGCCCCAAAACTGATAAGAACTGAGTTTGGTCCTTTCCTCCAAGCAGCACTGAATATTGAGGGCATCAGTTGATAAAAGGGAAGCGGAAAAGCAAGGTGGAGTGGGGTGAAATTGTCCTACTTAAGTTGCCCGGCAGCTTCTGTTTTCCCCTGCGGGAGATGAGGGTCCATGCCAGAGCGCCGCAGGGCTTTGAGGGCTCCAACCACTTTGAAGGCAGGTGAACAAAAAGCCACACTGAGCTCCAGAACGTTGTGGTCCTGCATTTTTGCAAAGTGTGGGATGCCTCACTGGTCAACAACCCCTTCCCACACACACGCAACTTCTCATGTGTTGTCAGCTTGTTATTGCAATAGGTCATTACCTGTCTCCAAAGTCTTGGGACCTCACAATGACTTGTGAAACGCAATGAGTTTCGGGATTTCCTTGATCTTATTCAAGATATTTAGGTATATCGAGTAATCTACTTACCTGATGGTTTGTCCGTGAACGTTGGAATGCTGGTAACTGGCGGCATGGTTGGGAGAGTCGGTGGCAGAGCTTTCAAATTCTGGTCACTCTGAATCTCATTGGTAGATATCTGATTAATGATACGATTGTAAGTGGGCGGCTGGTAGACCCGGTTGGGTGCCTGTGGAGGCTGGAGGACTGGTTTAATGCCCGACGCTCGTTGGCAGTGCTCTTCTAGCTGCCCAATAATTACGGACTGGTTATTTGCAATGGTCACCAAATGTTGGTACTTGTGCTCCAGGTCCTTGTATTTGTTCGCAAGCTGCAGCATGTCGGCAGTTTGATTCAGGATCTTATTCTCCAACTGAGAAAGTTCTAAAGCATTGTCCCTTTTCCTGATGATCTCGTGCAGCAGCTGCATGTAGAGCTGCGTGACCCGCGAGTTCATGTTGCGGCTCTCTTTCCGCAAGAGCTTCACTTCATTAACGATCCCTCCATCTACCTCCACCAGCTGCTGAAGGGTTTCTATCTGCCTCTTTTGCTTGAGCAGCTCATTGTTCAGCAGCTCCAGTTCCTGCTTATTTACCCTGTTTTCAAGTATTTCGGGTTCTTTTGAATTAACGCAAATGGCGCCCGTCACTTTCTGCTGCGGTACGATGAATGTGTAGGTGCACTTGTCCTGCGTGTCGCTGGAGCGCTTGTATCTGTTTGAATATATGAATTCTTGCCCCTCCTCTTCCTCGCTGCCTTCATGATCCCGAGTCTTACTGGAACCGGCTCCAACAACCATTAACAGCAAGCAGACAGCCACCTTCATGGTCCTTTTACTTGTATATTGTTCTGTATGAATGAACTTACCGATCTGTTTTAAACATAAAATCAGTGAAAATGGTTAACTGCTTATAATACATCAAAGCATGCCAAAAGCAGTCCTGTCATCTAGACAGTAAATTCGGTTTTGGAAATGGTAATTAATCCTTCAGAAATGTTTCAGAGCGTAAAATTGTTATAAATCACATTACCCATTATGCAGACCTGACCAGCAGGTTAGGTTTTTGCTCAGGAAGAAGCAAAATAAGGTCATCTTGAACCGACTAAAGTTCCCAAGCCAGTTGCTTTTAACTAAGAAGAAATGAGGTGGTTCATGACCATCATACAATTTTTCCTGGATGACGTGTTTGCATTTAGCGGCGTTTAGATGGTTTGCAGAGCCTGTAACTAGTACAATAAGTTTGCTAATTATCTGAGAAGTCGCCACAGAGCTGGCCTTTTCACATATCACTGCAGGTGCTTGAAAGCAGACTCTTGCTGGTGGTGTGACGCTAAGTAGATCACAGGTTAGGGGATGGAGTGTGGCATTCGTGAATATTCTCAGTGCTCTACCAAACAAAGCAAGAAATGTTGTTCCTTCAGGCCTCTTTCACAGGGGATGAGGCACATGGGTTATCTTCTTATCAGATATGGCGAGGATAGGCCATGCTTGTCCTAAGTTTGATTGGCAGTAGCACATTAAAACCGAGTCCAGATGCCCGGGTGAGGGACGTTCAAGGGGTGCCTCCGTGGGTGCAGTCGCCATGCTGATAGGTTATATATACTTTAGGGGTAAATAATGAGCACAGCCAGGACTGTGCTCTGCTGATCGCGGCGCTGGGCTCTCACTTTCCCATCTGGACTGAAGAGTTAATGGCTCTTTATGGCTCTTTATGGCTAGAAACTGGGACGGGGAGATTCCCTCCCAGATCTCTGTCCAACATGGGGTGGGAGCACGTGGTTGATCAGCTCCATGTCTTATTTGAGTGTCTGTGTGTTTGTTTTTATTATTTCATTTCTAACCGCCCTATTAGCCACATGGCTCCCTGGGCAAGTTAGAACCATCGAACCATATAAAACATGGTAAAAACACAAACATCAAATTGCAATAAAGCAGTAGAACAATCAGAGTATACCCTCCTCAACTTAACAGAACTAGAGATTTCATCAAAGCTATATCACATTCTATTAAAAATGCCATTAAATACAGATTAAAATACCGGCAAAATAAAACGCTCTTTGCCCGGCACCACATTATAAAGAGGGCACCAGGGAAACCTATCTGGGGAGCTCCTTCCAAAGTTTCAGTGCCACTCCCGAAAAGGCCCTTCTTGTTCTGGCCACACTCCTTATTTCCCGAGGAGGAGTCTCCCTCGTTAGCAGGCTGGCTGCCTGATTCTGGGCCAGTTGAATTTTTCGGACCGTCTTCAAGGGAAGCCCCATGTAAAGCACCCTTTTCAAGTGCAGCCTCATGTTGTGCCTCCTGGAACGGGTCAAAATACTGGTGGAGGCAACAGGCAGGGAAGGTTGGGAGAAAGGGAGTGGCCAAGGCAGTCTTTGCCCGGTGCCCTTTAGGGACCCAAAATGAAGCGAAGTAGGATTCTGGGGCAGCATCCATGACCCACTTTTTAGAATAAAAGCTGTGTCTGGGCCTTCAGTTCTGAACTTTTTGCTTTGTTCTGCTTTAGCTTTGTTTTTATGTGCTCCTTGCTGCTTTTCAATGCTACTGAATTTATTTCTTATTCTAGCGTTATCTTCACCAGGAAAGCTGCCGCTAATCGTATTTAAATCCTCCTTGCCAGAGTGAAAATATTTATTTATTTATCATATTTCTCTGCCATCCAATAGCAGCACTCCCCGAGATGGTCACAGCATGAACCATAACATACAAGACAATAAAATACAGTATAAAAGTTTTAAATGTTAGAAAGGCAATATAAAATAATAGCGAAATAAAACCCAGCAGCAGTATAAAGAGATGAAAGGCAATGTCAGATTTCCCTCCATTCAAGTGCCTGCTTTGCATAGCAGAGAACTGACCACTGGGAGATGTGCTGACACTTAAGGACACCACCAGTGTGGCTGCCAAGAACACCCCCCCCCACACACACACACACACACTTCCACTGGTGGGAATGCAGTAGGAAAGGCAAGGATGGAGGCTTGGATTTCCACTGTTCTCCACTCTTTTCCCCCTCCACATGAGGAGAAGAGGCTGAGGTACCACCGGGATGTCTCACAGTGCCTCACTCCTCCTCTCCCCCTGCCCGCAGTAGCACCAACGATGCTGTCCCGTCTTTGGCGCCCAACTGGCATGGAAAGAGCTGTGCTGGCAGGGAAAGTAGAGGGGGTCCACCTTGGCCAGCGTTCCACCTCCAACCTTGAAAGGCATTTCTGAAGTCAGAGGTGGGCTCCGACCTGTCCTGCAGCCCCAAACAAAGTCATAGAATTGTGTCCTTGAAATGTTTTAAGTACTGGAAGTCCCCTACATACAAACCTTCAAGTTGCAAACTTTCAAAGATGAGAGCGTGCTTTTGTGTACTTTACTGCTATAACGGAGAGAGGTGAGTCCAGCAAAGAGTAACACAGGTCGCACCAACCTAACGGTGATGCCATATGAGGAAGAACCCATCAGACAAACAACACGGGTGCACTTCTGCACCGCCATGTACCCGGAAGCATAACTTCCGGAAGTCCTCCAGTGGCATTATAAACCTATTACAGTACAGTACTAGAAGACCAATGGTGTTAGTTGGGTACTTAGGCTAACTTTGTTGGACTTACGAACAAATTAGACTTACGAACGGGTTCTCGGAACAGAACTCATTCATATGCAAGGGACTTACAAGGGACTTGGGGTTTATGTATGTGCATAAACCCCAAGCGTGGGCTACGTTTAGTATGCTCAGCAGTTTTTAAGCCTCTGATTTGCTGTTACTCTGATGTCGTTTTCTGCCATTGTAATGTCCCATATGTGGATATCCTAGGATGAAGGATGGTTTAACAACATTTTAATAATATATAAAAGTAGCACTCTTCCAGTTATTTCCTCTTGGCAGAGCTAATTTTAGTCTTCAGAAGTGTCGGGCTAGTTCTAATATTTTGTCCTGTAATTGAAATCTAATCTCTAATAGAGAATATTGATCTTGTTTTCTCCAAGAAGTTTATTCTGACATTCTTCGGCTGAAACACCTGTCCGTATGGGAGTCTGTACCCCAAAATATTTGTGGACACCCAGCAAAATCCCTGAATGAATTATTTATCCCAGTTTCCATTCTACTCGTTCCCACAGTGATGGGCAAGTTAATGGCAGTACTTAAAGCAAATGGAAATACCATAAAATGGAACACTCAAAAACAAGCCTGCTTAATCCCTAGAGTTAAAAGTCAATCCAGCGAGGGAAGTCTTACATGAGTTCATGAAGGTACCTGGACTCGGTCTTTCTCAGATCGCTTTGGGAGGAGAGTTCTAGTACGACATTAATACAACACATCCTTTTCTCTGCTGGGGATACCATAAGATAAGATTATTTTTCCAAGGAAGGAGGCATTGGCTCTGATAAACAAGCCTTGTGTAGTCTTTCAAGCAACAGCATTCAAGAAATTGGAAACATAAATTAAAATCCCCTTGGACAGCTTTAACTTCCATAGCCAGCATTTCCAGAGGGGGTCACACTTGGTGACCCTGGCAGGCTTCCAGCTCTCCTACTTTACACAGTTGAACTGTTCTTGAAAATGTCTTCAGCGGAATAGTTGTTCAGGGGGGCCTTTTCTTGCTTCAATATCTGGCTTTCAGCTCTTTCCCCCCCTTACAAGTCCTGATTTGCTATGAATAGAATCTCAGTTTTTCTTGTTGAAATTCTTCTTTGTCTCACCATTTTAAGGCTAGGGTGGCGGTTGGAGGGGGGGTGCAGTCTAATAAATCTCAGAAATATCCATGTCCTCACAAAAGCTCTCCATCCAAAAGAAGAAATGCGCAGATGTCGAAAACTTGTGTGAGGATAACTGAGGATATGAACAACATGGGGCAGTTACGTGAATGGACTTGCACTATACTTTTCCAGCGAGGTCGCATAGTGACCCCATCGTTGAGCCGGGATAGCAGCCATATGCCCAACTCAGATCCCTTAGCCACTGGACCCCCCACCCCCACCCCTCCCACCCCAGCCCGGCTCTGTTGAACAATTATCTCTCTCATGTCGGCTTGGCTCTTGTATTTGAAGCACATTCATATTCTGAATCCAAGAGGGGGAAACCCAACTAAAAAATATTTGATATTTGACTTTGGTTTCCTGGTTTGGACCAGTTCTTTTGCTCTTTCTGTCAGTATGGGATTCTGGGCAAAGTGACACCTCTGGCAGAGCTTGTATTGACACTGATGGGACTGAGAGTTCATTCTTAGCACCTTGTCTTGGCTACTCTGATGGTTGGCAGAGGGGTAAGAAGGGGTAATGGAACTTACCACGTCTGTTCTTTCAACATTTGCTCAGCTAATTGTGCCTCAGGGACACAACTTGAAAATAATCCTATCATCTAATAAGTAGAGAGAGAACAGTCTTCCAAAGAAAAGATATTACATTCCCCCCCCCCCCCATTTCCCATTCTTGAGAATGAGAAACAAAGCTAAATGTTTTCCTTGGCATTGCAAGTTACAAGTGAACACCAAAAGACAGCCTCACTGTTGGGATTATCTTGCCGCATCGAAAGCTTTTTATATTTACTACGAACATTTCACACATCTGAATTTAGATACTGCATGTTCACATTTTTAAAAAACAATTTAAGTTGTATTTTAGATCAGAATTAAATCTTGAATTGTTTTATTGGAGTGGCAGTATTAGCGAAATACTTGTTGCCTCCCATGTATTGGAAATGACAGGATCTCATTTATTTAGCAGCACAGGGAAGACTGAGGGTGTATCAGCCTTTTTCTTAGCCCAGAGATGACAAAAGTTCTATGTAGAGATGCTAGCGGGGGGGGGGGGGGATATGACAAAATATGAACAAATCAAAGAAATTCCGTCTTCGTCCTGTCAAGTGGCTGAATGAGAAC